TTGTCCAGGGAACTGGACTTGATGATGCCGGTCCTGTGTTCCCATACATGTAAATGACTTCCATATGCCACATTTGCTTCCCTTATTTAATTAGCTCTCTCCGGTCAAGCCGAAGTATGGCATTCAGCTACTGCATAGGCAAAAGCTAGTGGCAGTGGTGGGGGAACAACTTACCTTTCTTTTGGTGACCCAGTGTAAAATCCTTCATAAAGAGCACTGAATCTCAATGGAAGCACTTAAAATATTGATACATTTCTTCGGGACACAAAGCAAAGTCAATTTGCTCTATATTCAAGGGGCATTAACGATGAACTCCTAGCAATAGGTGACTGATACTCCCCTCCAGGATATTTCCTTGGGATTTAAATCCTCACTAAAAGCTCAACTGAAATGAACTCATTTTTCTAGATGCTTAGGGCCACAATGTGAGCTTTGGAGCTATGAAGGAACAAGGACATGTTTTCAGGTATTTTTTCCAGCAGAAAAACGGTAATGTTGAAACGTATCAGCCTTCTTTCATATTCTTCGAAGCCTACAATTATGCTCTCTTTTATTTTTGAATGAGATCCTCTCTGGATAATTCAATAGCTGTCAGTGTTACACGCTATGCCCAGTCCAGTACAAATCAGTCTTTGAATGTCTTCCACTTACACTTAGTAAAATGAACTGAAAATAAGTAAAGAAAAGAATTTGTCTCTTGCTGGCACTGCCTCACTCTCAGCATATGCTGCAACAAAGTGCCAGATTCTGCCCCAAAAGGAAGCAAAGGGGAAAATCCTGGGCAAGTGTAAATGGGACCCAGTGGATCAGTGGCACTGCCCATGGACAAGCTCTTCTTTTTACAGTCGTCGTTTCCTGGGTAGAATCACGTTCCTTCCCATTTCTGGGAAGGATCCCAGCCAGGAGGATGTAGCTGTGATGGGCGTTGCTTTTGTATGTACAACTCCATAACTTCTGCCATGGAAGCAGCTACCAAAAATGTCTATGCAGTCATTGTGCAGCTCTGTGTCTCTGTATGTAAAGACCTGGTGTAGCAGGCTCACTACAAACATGCAGGCTAGTGGACCTATTTGACAGTTCCTGTTTTTCACGGCGGGTTATTAGGCTTGGGATTGCCTGTCTGCATATGCAGAATGCTTTAGATTTTGCCCAAGTATGAATAGACTAAATTACCTGGCTACAGTAAAAGCTGAGGGTTCATTTTTCCTACCATGAATTCTAGTCTTCCACAAAAGAATTGAAGGGGGTAAGTTAAATTTCTACCCCACTGTGGCACAGTTCTGCTATCTAGTAAGGTCTGTGTGATTTAAACCTATATAATAAAAAATAAATTGAAAATATGGTACAAGTCTTAATAGGTAGGATTGTAGGTCACAGCTCACTTTTATATTTGTAGTGTCACCAATATTTGTATAGTTTCACCCAGGAACTTTTACTTCCCTTCTGTTATTTGTAAAGTTGTGACTGTGTATCACCACTACCCTCTTCTGGATGCAATCCAGCCTCCCCAAGGGGCTGTGTAATCATTTCCCTTTAAATGCGTTATTTGGGAAAATTGGTAATAAACTTCCAGCAGCAGCTAATGAAGAGGTTCCTTACCACTAACTGGAAAATGCGTATGCTTTATTATGGAAGGGAAGGTTCAGAGGTCTATTCCCTATTCCGCACCATTCAATTTTGCTGATAGCAATGGCTTGTTTCTCAACAAGTGGCTGTAATTTAATATGCTTTAGAGAATAGACTCAGTTACGCTATAAATTGGGTCCGTGCACTGAAAAAGCCAACCCTAGAATCATGGTCCTGCCATTGCAAAATTACAGCGCTCTACATTTCAAACTAAAAGAGATTTCCCCTGGCTTGCAGCAGGGATATAAGCCACAGCATCTGTGTGATCCTGCCCTCTGGCTCGCATGCACAAAGCCAGTAGGTGCCAGGGTCTCCATACAGACAAGCAGGTCTATGTGGCCTGTACCCTCTTGAGTAGCCTACATGGCTAAGTACCCCATTGGAGTTGCATGTTCTCCTTGGCAGGCGAGGCTCTTTGGGTAGATGTGATATTTTTCATTAGACCAACTGGGTAGTTAGAAGAAAGACCTGGGGGTCTTTAAGAGGAGGCTAGAGCACACCTTGCTGGGGTCGTTTGACCCCAGTACTCTTTCCTGCCGTGGCAGGAGGTCGGACTCGATGATCTACTGAGGTCCCTTCCGACCCTAGAAATTATGAAACTATGAAAGTTCTTTGCAAGCTTTTGGGCACAAGCGCCCTTCTTCTGGCACTTGGGGACTCTGCTGTTGTTCTGAGATCTCCAATGTAGGAAAGAAGCTAAAAGTGCGGCAGGAGGTCAGTGAAAATATAAATAGGTGGAAGTTTGGAAAATGATAGGTAGAGAAAGGAGGGGATGGGGGTGGGGGGTAAGAGGGGGAAATAATGGGTGAAGGAATGCAAAAGGTATGCATGGGAAACTCGGCGGCAGTGCACTCTTGAGGACCCCAGGCTTGCAAACCTGCGCTGTCAGTTATCTTTTCCTTAAGTCAGTCGAACTGTGTGTTGCTGTAAGCATTCTCCTTGGTGATAAAGATTTTGTATTGTGTGTCACCTTTCACTGCAAATAAGGCCGGCTCAAGTGTCTCCATAATACCCCTGTTCTTCCCAGTCCCTATTCAGCTCATTACATCTATCCCCATTTACAAGTCATGGTAGTGTAGGGTTATTTCAAGGCCTTTCCCATCACCTATACATCCTTGTTGACTTTGTTTTTAAACAGCATTGCTTCCATGCATACCAGTTCCTGCAGCTTTACATTGGATCTATTTTATTCCATTTCCTTTTGGATTATGTTTTAATTAATACTTGGAATGATCTTGTGCCAAGCTAGCATGTGGGAACACAGAGGGTTTTAACTACATGGATTGTTATTTCAAGCACTCCATGATAATTCTTGCTGCCACATGTGTCTGTATTAAGATATCTGTGTAGTAGGAAGAAGACTTTGTGGTGGCAACTGTGATTTACAGATGCATCTGAAAGTTAGTGCGTTGAATTCAAAAGACTGCAACTCATTTGAACTCCTGAACCCAGGTCAGACAGTCTCTGGAATTTCTTTGAACATTGAAAGTTTATGTAGTTTTTGTGTCCTTCTGGAGATAAAAAGTTGTGACCCTGCAGTCATTTCTATCTGTAAATACATTCCCTGCTGCCTGGTTTGCCCAAACAGCTTATTTCTTTATTTAATATTTAACAGGTTGCGACAGTATTTCAAAATTATATCTAGGGAGAGAAAGATAAAATAGCTTTTGGAAGAACATCCCAAATAAAAGTGCCAGAAAAGATGAAGCTTGCACAGGAAGACCTATTCTAAGAATTTAAAAGACATCACCTGGATGTTTCATGTGCAGAGTTCTGCGCAATGATGAAGGGACTCCATTTGGACTGCAACACATCTGATCTCATCGATTTCATAGATGTTAGGGCTGGAAGAGATCTCGCTGGATCACTGAGTCCAGCCCCCCTGCCATAGGCAGGAAGTCAGCTGGGATCAAGTGAGCCCAGCAAGAAAAACATCCATATGTTTTTTGAAAGAGTCCGGAGTAGGTGCTTGCACCACCTCTGCGGGGAGTCTGTTCCAGACCGCGGACACTCGCACCGTAAATAACGTTTTTCTTATGTCCAGTCTGAATTGGACCGTCCTGGAGTTTATGGCTGTTAGACCTTGTTAACCCTTGGGGAGCTCTGGTGAACAGCTGTTCTCCCAGGTCTTGATGCACCCCTTTTATGTAATTGTAGGCTGCCACCAAGTCCCCCCTGAGCCTTCTCTTTTCCAGACTGAAGAGTCCCAAGTCTCTCAGCCTTTCCTCAAAAGGCTTTCCCTCCAGGCCTTGGATCATATGCGTGGACTCTTTTAAGTTTTTCCACATCCCTCCTGAGTGGGGGGCCCAATACTGGATAGAGTACTCCAGCTGCGGTCTCACCAGGGCTGAGTAAAGCAGGAGGATGACATCTCTGGTTTTCCTCGAGATACATCGGTGGATGCACACCAGAGTTTGGTTTGCTTTGCCAGCCACAGCATCGCATTGGTGGCTCATATTCCTCTTGTGGTCGATCAAGACCCCCAAGTCTCTTTCCGTCGTGGTGCTCGCAGGCATAGCACTGCCGAGCCTGAAAGTATGTTGAAGGTTCGTTCTACCAAGGTGCAGCACCTTGCACTTCTCTACATTGAAGGCCATCAGGTTTTGGTGCGCCCACCTTGAGAGTGTGTCCAAGTTGGCCTGTATCCCCAGCCTGTCCTGCGGTGTGACCGCCCTCCCCCATAATTTGGTGTCATCCGCGAACTTTGCCAGTTCACATCCGACTCCTGGATCCAGATCATTAATGAAGATGTTAAAGAGTACTGGCCCAAGTACCAAGCCCTGAGGGACTCCTCTGGTCACCATGCACCACGTTGATTTGCTCCCATCAACTAATACTCTTTGTGCGCTGCTTCCAAGCCCAATGTTTCACTGAAGTGCTGTGTGCTCAGTGCTGCTGCTGGCAGCCACGAAGTGCACTCTGTGCTGGGAGCTCCTGCAAAATTCTCCAAGCACGTTGGGCTACCCAACGTCACTCTTCAGATCATCCCCACTACAACTTGCATTGCAGCCTGCAGGCACCGGTGATTCTTACAATGGGGAACGTTGCGAGGGGACCTTCCATTTGGGTCTTGCATGCCTATTTCCAGCTCACCTGCAACTAAGCCCACATTTCCTTGGTTCTCTGCCAGCCTTTCCCATGACACGGCAGATGAATCCGTTTGGGTAAATCCGATAGCTTTTATTAGACCAACTCAAATAGTTGGAAAAATTCGTCTTTGCAAGCTTTCGGGTACAAACACCCTTCATCAGGCTGAGGAAGCATGCGAGTCTGGGGCACCCCAGAAGCACCATACCTAGACTCCTGGTGGCCCCGGCGAAGTTTTAGTATCGGGCCTCACTTTGCCAGAGATAATGATAATAATAATCATTATTTTCACCATTGTCAGACCTGCTTTATGTCGGGGCTCTGGGCAGCCGCCCGGTTCGCCCAGGCCTGTGTCTGGCCCTGCACACCCCAGTTACTTCTTCCTCCAAAAAAGAATAAAGCCCCCACATGTCTGAGTTTACCTCTGTGGCCAGGACCTGTGTCTGCCCCCAGCTTTATAGGCTCTTACTGCTGCTCTTTTAATGTCAAGAGAAGAGTGCTTCAGAAAACAGCTCACAGTGCTCTTGCCAGAGAGAGACAGAGTCTTTGCTGCCGGAGGCAGGAGTTGCACGCTGGCTGGTATCAATGCCTCTGAGGCGAGTACAGGTGCAAATCTAACAAGACAGGTATAAATGGCAAGGACAGAAATAGAAGCTTGGAAACAGAACCATTCCCCCAGGTTGACGCTCATGCCTGTCGGTGGAGCTGTGCCCAGCAGGGGTCAGGTCCCCTGGGCAGGGGGGGAGGACGGTGGGGGGGAGCGAGATGGTAAAAGTGGCTTCACAACCTTTTTTTTTTTTTTTGTAGTTAACGAGCCTGATCCCAGAATCCTTTTACAGTCCTAGATGTCCTGTCAGAGTCCTTGGAGGAATTTACTTGAGCAAGGATTGAAAATCGGGCCCTGACTGCAGAGCCCTGGATCCATTAATGACAAATTTGGTGCCAGAATTTGAATAGGTATCACCAGGTTTGTCGGGCAGCTATAAATTCACCTTTGCATTGATTTATACATTTTGAGCAGCCTTTAAAAACGTTGAGCTCAGTAGTTCTCGCATCTTAAGTTACAGATCCTTCCATTTTATTCCTTCGCCAGACACTCCAGGGTGAGCTGGTCCCAGTTAGCTTGTCTTCTCCACTGTTAATTACTACGTTAATGCTGACTTCCATTTCAGCTCGGGCATTAATAGGAATACATTCTCCTTCCTGTCTCCTGCCAGAGATCTGTTAAAGCCCCAGCAGACATCCCCGATCCCTTCCAATAATTTTCAGCCCCCTGGAGCCTAAATGGGTAACAACAATCTTTAAACCATTGACCAAATTGATGGGCAATGTGATAAACAGTGGCAGAAGTCTGATGTGATGGGGGCGTCATTCCTGCCACATAAATTATAATCTGCACTTTTCTTTTCAGAATTCAGCCTTTTACAGTCCATTTTCAGCAGTAAAGAGCGAAATATTACATTATTTATTTGCGAGGTGCTAATAATGTGTACAAGACATAAAAGCTGATGATATTGTGGAGAGCTTATAGTCACAGGCATGAACACAGAGAAGACAGAACGCACTGAAAGACCCAGAGGAGCAACTAACTTAGATTCTTTCTCTAGTTTGTGCCTTCCAATTGTCCCATCATTTAACTCCCCAAATGATTTCATTCTAGACAGAGTTTTGGGGTCTCCTCTCAGTTTTGGTTCAAACACTGCACTGGAAGGTGTGACTGCAGCTTGGGAAGGACAGACCTGACCTTGCCTGACAATACCAGTAATAGTGTGGGTATAAGAGCTCAGAAGAGCCTGAAGCACTTGCCGTGGAGCTGGGATAAAGCTTGAACAGAGCTCCATATTGCCATGTCCATACTGTTAGTGGTACCCGAGCTCAGGTCATTAGTTTTGAGCCAGCTTAGGTAAGTTTTTATGAGCTGCAGTCACTAGCCCAGCACCACTTCTAGCAGCCACACAGGAAGCAGCCCCCCGTCAGTGTAGAGGAGGGCTAGGCTGTTGTGTAAGCCATATGAAATGATTAGCAAGGGGTAGAGATACTATCTTACATTACACCCACTTAAGGCCTCACCCTGCTGCTGTTACAGCCCGAAGGCTCCCAGGGAGGTGGCAAGGTCTAGGGCAGTAGTTCCCAAACTCTGACAGATTGCGTACCACCAATTTAAAATGATACAACCTTAAGTACCACTAGCAAATTTTTGTCATATAAACTACTTATAAAAAATCTGTTAACATGTACCAGTGACAGGTTGCTTGTGTACCCTGGTGGTATGTGTAGCACAGATTGGGAACTGCTGGTCTTGGGACATCCTGCACCAAGAGTAGTCTTTGTGGAGGTTTCATAGATTTCTTAGACATTAGGGCTGGAGGGGACCTAGCAAGATCATCAGGTCCATCCCCCTGCCCCAGAGGCAGGAAGTCAGCTGGGGTCAGATGACCCCAACAAGATAATCATCCACACGCTTCTTGAACCTGTCCAGAGGACATCACGTGCTGGCATATCTGAAGCAGAGGAGACACAGGGCAATGATACAAGCCTACAAATTCTGTCACTTGTTTAGTAAGAAGCCGAACCTGCCCATTAGAGTACATTGCAAAAGCACAGTGAAATGTCTCAGTTGCCCTGAATCTGAGCTGTATAGTATCATTGCACAGTGAATTGCGCTTTGAGTGTAAAAGCATTTCTCGTTAATGGGGTCATTGCAAAGGCTGAATCCTAACCCTGTCATTTTCTAAGCTGCGGGAACCTTCAGCTCTATCTTAAATTGCACCAAAGAAGAGAAATCATTCTCGTCTTAATAAAATGAAAACTAGGCAAATGTTTTAGGGCTTTACCTATTTTCCAACTGCCATAACAGCCATAGCAAAAGCACTCACGTTGCGGCCCTGACGAATCTGTGAATTCTGCTAAATACCTGTCATCAACCATCTCAGACAGGGCATGAGAAGAGGAAGGACTTTAGCGTTCATCCTGTTGAACTGTTCAGTATTACAGTCCTGTAGCCATAGCAAGAAGCACTGCCCAGTCAGGCCAAATAAATGTGTGATATCAAACGGGTGGGTGGGACCAAGCAATCCGGCAAGATGTTGAGTCATCCTAACTCTTGACTTCAGTGGAAGATGACCATGGTCTTGAAGAGACACTCAACACCTTTCAGGAGCTGGGGCCATTTCTGGTGTTTGTTGTGTGCCTTAATGAAAGGAATGCAGAGGCTAGAATGCAATTATCTTTTCTTCTTATCTTGTTCCAAAGCCCCTGTAACATCTATATTGTTTCAAAAACCAAATGCTTTAAAAAAAAATAAAAATCAATAGCAGTGGCATTCTCATTATCACAAGCCAACAAATAATGCTATGTGAGAGAGAGGGGGAGAGGAAGGGAAAGGAAAGGAAAGGAAAGGATGGGTGAGGAACAGACTCCACTTCCCAATTTGCAAGGGATTATCCCTAGCACAAAGAAAAGAGGCAGCTTGAAAAATTACAAAAAAAAAAGCAAAAAAAAGCTGGTCCTGTCTCGAGCCTATCTTGTATTTTCATGCAACGCACTATAGCATGCACTTAGGTTGCAGCACTGGCTTCGGCTCCTCTAACTCAGCAGTACCAGTGAAAGGGCAGCTCTCAGAATGGAGGATGTGGTTTCTGTTAATGCAGAAAGAAACAAAGACCAAACGCTCTCTTCTGGGCCATTTGGCACGTTCCTGCGTGGGTGAGGCGTGCAGGTGACTCTGCAACACCATTCCTCCACAGATCAGGGCCTCCTAATGAGGCTCCTTTTGTCCACGCGGAGCAAGGGAGCAGTGAGTATGTAGGACCAGTGAGTTGATAGGTCATGAGGGGTGCAAAGAGTCCCTTCCTTGGCTTCAAGAACCGAGATGTAGAGCTGCCTTAGGGAAAATGGCGCCCTGAGCAGACTTGTACTGTGGTGCCCCCCACTGCCTCCTCCAAATGTTGGCAGTGCTGCAGGCAGGCAGGGGAATGGGGCACAGTCTGGTGGCAGGGTGCGCTGGGCAGATGGGTAGGCACCGCTATTGCCGCCCTCATTACCCAGCCCAGCTTCTCCTAAGAAGCAGCTGGAGTCAGGGGACGGGCTGGGCTGGGCACTGCTCTTCCTGCCTGGGGTGGGGATTGGCCCAGGGGGCTGGGGGAGAGCACTGCTGTGAGCGTGGACTGCTCTCATGCATGCATGCATGTGTGCGTGCGTGCGTGTGTGTGTGTGTATGGTGCCCCCTGACCAGGGTGCCCTGGGCAGTCACCCACATCACCCACCCTTAAGGCCGGCTCTGCCATGATGGAAAAGATAACACACTCTGAGCGGCACCCTCTGTCCCATGTAATTCCTGACTCCCAGCAGGAGTGCCAGGGGCTCCCTGGTGGTGAAACTCCCAAATAATTAACAGTGCAATATTTGAATTTCTTCCCCGACACTTCAGAATTAAGTTGTGCTTGAGTGGAGTAGAGGTAATCTATTTTATGCCGTGTTTAGGGGCAAATAATGCTGTCTCTCACCCATGTCCCACAAAACCTCTTTACACAGATTATCTAATTCTTCTGCTTTCTTCACTCCACTGCTCCCCCTAACATGTAGAGGCTTGGTTAGTGAAAGGCAGGTTTATTCTACAGCCAGGGCTCTGTGGAAGCTCCTGGGAAAACGCTGAAGCGGTGTATCTCCCACCAGGCATATACTGCACAGCTGGCTCCAGGGTCTCCTTATTGCAGCTGTTTCAAGAACAGCTTCTGCTGCTGCTTCTGCCTTCAAGCAGCCACTACAGGTTCCTAGCTCTGCTTGCATCAGCCCAGCCCAGGTTGTGAAACAGGCTTTTGGTTTGAACATGGCAGCGTCCCTTTAACATTGGTGTACGTTACTATCTGAAAGCAAGGAACCCGAGAGTTTTCTTTCAGCCTGTGGTGATAAATGCAGTCACAAATGTTTTATAATAGTTCAGAACAGGGCTTGTCTTTTCTTATCCAGCCAGGGCCAGATAACACGAGCACTAACACACAGCTCAGCTCTGAATCACAGCAGGTCTTGATCAGAATTTTCTTTTCCCTGTACAGGGACTAAGGATGCTCCATAACCAACCTCTACTAACACTTTCCCCCTGGGATCCTGAATGGCCAGTGCAAAGGGCGTTTCTGGTTTGAGCGCTGTCATCCACACAAAGGTGACTGTGGATAAGGAATGATAATCAATAAGCAGTTGGCAAGGGTCTGGTATAGACTGTGTTTCGTAGGTCTTTAGAGTAATGTTACATTTCCATGGGCTGTGGGCCATGACGCCTGTGGGTATCAGCTTTGTTTTATTATAAGACTTATCCATAAGTGTGGTCCTTAGTATGTGCTCTCAGAGGAGACAGCTGGTCATCAAAGCACTGTCAGGTGCATCAGGATGGTACTTCCAGACACAGGTCATCAACATGGTACTTCCAGGTGCATCAAGATGGTGCTGCCAGACACAGAAGAAAGCCACTTCTTTCTGTGTCTGTACAGTGCCTAGCGTTATGGGGATGCTGGCCCATGGTTGGTACTGGTAGCTGCTACCCCAGTACATATTATAAGCAGCAACAGTAATTAACACCAAAGTCACTTGCACGCTTCAGATAAGCTTCCTGCTACGTGCTAGGTAGTCCAGGACCATTTCAATAGGATTTTTGGCCAATTCAATTTTCAATAATTATTATTATTTTCAATAATCCCCTCTCGACTCCTTATGCCATTGCTTGATTTCCACCTTCGCTGAGTAGTAGCTGTACATGTGCCTGCGTATAATATTGACTTCAATCACATTGGGGATCAACGTATGAAACACAGCCTCACGGCCTCCTGCCCTTATCCCTAGACCACACTCTGTTTCTGACTGGAAAGTAAAGAAGCCAGGAGACCTGGTTTCATGATAAAAGAAAGCTGAGGGAATTGGTTTATACTGAACCTTTCAGACTCCAGATATCAAAACACTTTGTGAAGTCGGGGCCTGCAGGGAAGGAGAGCTGCTATTATGTGATCAATAAAAAGTTTTACCCAAAGCTGGCAAAAGATGGATAAAGAATGTAGCTGAAACAGCTCTTCACATGAAAACATGATGTTTATTGGTACTGGAACACCCTGCTGAGGTCTTTGTAATCGGGGTCCAAGCGATGTCAGTCGAAGCAAGTGATGTCTTAGCCTGGAACAGGGTAAAACGCACTGGGTCTGTGAACGAGACCCGCTGAAATTTCCGTGCCACCATACGTGATAATAAAATGACAAGCATTGCGAGCCAGTGATTGTTGTGAAAGGATTCAAGGATTACAACCAATGACATTGTTTTTTGTTTCTCTGTAATACAACTCTTCACACGATCAACTGGTTTTCCTGGATCTGTACCAAGACAGCAGCCAATAAAAGGAAACCAATGGATAAGAAACTTGCCTAAGTAAACCACACTGCATGATTATCTTCCTTAACGCTTTGCTGCAGAAGACTGCAAAATAGGATCATCAATTGATGAGTACAGCTAGCCACACTGTCGACCCAGGACCAAGCTCATTCCATGGCAGCTGCCAGTATTCAGATTTTTCTGCATCTGTGACATCCCACTGATGTGTCTACACTGCAGATATTCTGAAATTCCCTCTGTATTCGCCTGTCCCCACATGCTCACGTAATGTGGGGCATTGACAGTAGGTCTTCACATATGAAATGACCTGAGCTAAAAGTCCCGCGTCAGCCACGGCTAAAGTGGGCTCTGCCACCATTGGAAGGCAACAGAGTGCCAGGCGGAGTAGGCATGGGTTACCCTTCTGGCTCATCGGCCTCCTGCTCCCACCATGGCTAGCACAGCAGGAGCTGCACCCATGCTAGAACACCACAGGATTGCCTTCTAGAGCAGGGGTGGGCAAAATACAGCCCGTGGGCCGAATGCGGCCTGCCAGGCCGTTCTATGAGGCTCACAGGGACCCTAAAAAATTTAGAAAATTAATATTTATCTGCCCTCGACTGCCAGTCATGCAACCCTCAATGGCTTGCCAAAACACAGTAAGCGGCCTTCTGCTCGAAATGATTGCCCCCGTTCTAGTGCCATGAGGAAGCCACAGGGTACTCAGTGCTGCAGACACTAGGGAGTGGGGGAGTCACGCCAAGATGACTTGTCACTTCTGATGCACACGACTGAGAAGGATAGTAGTGCATCTTAGCTGGCGGGGATAGGAGAAGGTTGGGTGTGTTGAGCAGGACTTTATGCATGCTACGTACTCATACGGTAGCACTGTTCCAGGATTCTCCTCGTGCCTTAGCAGTATCACGAACAAGCTGATCTTGCAAGCTGGATGTATTAATGTACAATCTGAGTAATTATCCAGTAATTGAATCTGCCCTGGTTAATTAATAACATGCTAGCAAACATATTAAAGAAATTATGTACTTCTGCGGTGGTCATGAGGGCTGCAGGTGAAAGCTCCACACTATAATTCTAAGGAGAATTCCCCAGAGCCACCGCATTGCAAAGTAGGAGACCTGCCTGATTGCTCAGGCCTGTTTCAATATGCCACCCGTACAGGTGGGGACTAGGAATAACCATGTTCCAACAAGAAATATTTTCTTTCGTTTCTCCCACTCTTCTAGGCCCTGTTGCTATCTGTTCCTTCCTTAGGCCCCAGGGTGCTGTGGGAAACCAAAATTATGTGGCGGGCTCCCCACTTTTGCCAGGCAAGGCAGGCTTGGACAAGGATACTTCTGATCAGTGGAACATTTCCACCAATCAGGTAACAGCTGGGAGGGCTTTGCCCCACCCCTGCTCAGAGCCTGGACCTGATTGGAGACTGCGCTTTGCAAGTCCGGTGGACTTCGGGGCGGGGCCTCCGGTGTAAATAAAAGCCCAGCCTGCTTGGCATGCTGGGCAGATGTGGCGAGGGATGGCGGGGAGAGAGGAGCTTGGGAGAGGACTGTCATTGGGACCCCGCCTGAGCCTCGATGATGTATGGATTGGCGCATGTCGAGCCGGCCCTGGGAAAAGCTCAAGGCTGTACAGGCCCCGCATGGTGCGCAGGTCGGTGCACAGAGAGTCGACCTCGGGAGCAGCTCAAGGCTGCTCAAGTTAGCCCCAGCTCTTGGCTGGGTAGCTGGAGGCCTGCAGTGTGGCTCCAAATTAAACTAAAAGAGCCCTGGTGCCCAGAGCAGGGCCCAGGAAGGGGCAAGACCCCCAGTGTGAGGCCGGGGAATCAGAGCCAGTAAGGGGTTGGCTCCTGTAGGAGCTCCCTGGCTGCCCCGTGCAGGGCACAGGGCCATTGGGGAAGCCCTGGCAGGAGGTCAGGCAGGCCCAGAGCAGGCACCAGGCCATC